ATTTTTCTTTTTTTTTCTCTTTTTGTCAGAAAAGCACGACGTTTTTGACGTATCTTTCACCGATTTCTGCATTTTTTATTTTTGTATCTTGTCAATGTTGCTTTCAGGAGGATCATCTATTTGAAAATAATTCCTAAATTTGTATGATACTGTCTTCAACGATAAGGAATCAGCGTACTTAAAACATAATATAAAAATTGAAAGAGGGTGACTAGTACAATTTGCAAAATCTACCGAGAAGAAAAGGTGCACTGAAATCGTTAAAATTGGTAACTAGAGAGAACTCAGCATGATGCTAATTTTGTCTTGAGACAAAGCAGGGAATTACTCATACTTATTTTTGAAAGCCCATGTTTTAATTCATTTGTGCTGCTATACATCTTGTACCGAATTGTTCATTTATGTTATTGGTGTTCTTCATAATATTATTAATGCTTACTATGTTTTTCCTTGAAGAGTAATAAATAAGTTCAATGTTTTAGTTGTTAATGATCTAAAAAACGCAAATAAACAACAAACATTGCTACAGTAGCAATGATTTGGAATCATATTGTTACGAAATGTACAGGCGCGGTAAGATGGCTTCCCCGCAAAGCAGTTTTAAGGTTGCCATAAAATGGCAAAAGAGGGTAGGGTTGCCACATTTGGCGAGAAATCGCCCATTTGGCGGCAAAATTGGCGATATACCATGGACGGTTGGAGAACTTTCTGGAACGAATTCGTACCGGTTTAGCCCAGAATGTTCCCGAACACAAGCCGAAAGCTATATAAACCCTGTTGGTCCGCAGTCAGTTAGTGTGTGCCTCGTCTAGCGAGCTGCTAGTCAGTTATTGAGCGAGTGTCTCGAAGTCTAGCGTCGAGTTGGTCGTCGAGTGCATCGACAATGTCTTTTAGTGCGTCGCGAATTAGTGCATCGTCGTTTTTTGTCTTAGACTGTGGTGAGTCGAGAGCTATACTCTTGTGTATCGTCGAGTGCATCGCGTGGAGAGTCTCGAGAGTACGTGGAGTTCAGAGAACGACCAAGCAGAGTTGGGAGCTGTACTCGGGTGCTTTCCAGTGAAGCTGTCTCCACCGCTATTGCCTGATAGTGTGAAGGCTGTGTCGCTGATTATTCCAGCGTGTTTAATATAGACTTTCGACGACTGTAAAAGTGTTTTGGAGCTGTCCTGATTAATATTGGTAAATAAAGTGTGTTTTGATACTTCATCAAGTGTCGTCGTTATTCACTCCAAATACACATAAACCTCGTACGAACGCGAAGGAAGAAAATAACGTAAAAACTGGTGTCAGAAAAGAATAACGCCACAATATTTTTTATATACCCTTAAAAAGCTGTTTATCATTTCTACATTGTGTTTAAATGCAACCATAACCGGAGCTTGCGTTTTGTAAGATTAATAACTGCTGGCGTCAATTCGTATGCTCAGTCATATCTAAAAGATAACAAACATTATTCATCTCTCAAACCTGGCATTTGGCAAAAGTACAGAACTTTTCAATATTTTCACCATTTGTATATCCTTGACAAACCCCCACTTAGCGTATACGTGAATACAAAAACCCTTTTAAATTTATGTATATTGATGGCATAAAATAAAATTATTTTCTTATATAATAAATCACGTGTAACTGAATACGAAACTCCTTAAAACTGTTATTTATAAATCGTATAAAATTTTAATAAATTCTTTCAGCATCAAGCGCATGTAAATGAGTAGGAAAAGCTTTCAAATTCGTATTTATTTATGGTATAAAATTAAAATAATTTCTTCTATGATAAAAGCAGATTAGTGAATAAGAGAGCCCTTCCAAATTTCTGTTTGTATATGATTTAAAAATTGAAATAATCTTTTTTTTTTTTTTTTTTTTTTTTTTTTTTTTTTTTTTTTTATAAAAACATGCTAGAGTGAAATGCAAAAGCCCTTTCAATTTTTATTTCTCTTTGATATAAAATTATACTAATAGTTTCTTTGATAAAAACAAATTATCAAGTGAGATGATGCTTGAAATACTATTGAATATATCATATATTTTATTATTTTAAATAAAAATAAATATAAATAATATCAATAAAATAATTATATAATTATTTTATTTTTTATAACACATGTCTTTTATGTCAGCTACTACGTAAGCCATGTATCTTGAACGAAATTACATAAATGCAATATTATGTACACTAAAAGTATTTACATAAATGCAGATTAATTTTTAGTTATAAGTAGCAGAAATTTTAGGAATAAAACAGAAGAAAAAATGTGTTTATACACCGCTTTTTCTCGGATTCAGAAATTTTCTGGCGAGTCTATAAATTTTAAAAAGTAGTCAGAAGTGTGCTATTCTTTTATTTTCTCTTCCCTCATACAGCCTCGTGACCATTTCTTTCATGGATTTTTCATCATCTCATGAGTAGAAAAACAACTTACGACCAGCTAGAAGCTAAAGTAATAACAACTTAACTACTTCGTGCGAGGTGCTCTTCATGTTTCGCCCACAAGTGTAATTTAATGTCTAAAGAAGTCAGCTATAATGCCACTTGGTGTGATAAGTCAGGAACTCTGAGTGAATGCTCAGTCGTTAACAGCAACAATAACAAGCTCATTACTTTGCATCAAGGCTTCTTGCAAAACTAATGTTCATCATAAAAATGCGGATGTCTTTGTATTATACGTACGTGAATTTTAAATTTTTGAAACTTTTTGTTAACATCTCGGTGCTGTATTGTTTTCACTTAACATTTAAAATCTTCTTCTGGCAAAATTAAATCCGTAGGCACACTTACGCCTCAAAAACTGACAGACGAGAAGAAAAGGTGGAATCTAGAAACAACTTTTAGCATGTATGTTCAATGCTCGAAATATAATAAAACCTTTAATCAAATGAAAGAGAACTACCCTTCCTCAGCATGGGGGGGGGATTGTTTCTAAAGAAGAGGAACCTGTCTTATCGCCCTCGAAATAGATCAAATATTCAAAATGTGCCCTGAATTAAGACTACTTTTTAAGGCCTAATTTTAAAATAAGACCTTCATTTTGGCATCCGTAACCACTGCTGCCATTCACAAAGCATAAAATCTTTAATTTATCTTTCATATTTAATCAGTTGTCATTGATTTATAAACTTAGTGATTTAAAAACATATGTATCCGATTCATTGTCTGTTTACATCTACCAGATGACTGTGCAAAATCTCTGAACACTGGTAGTTCAACCCCAATTAATATTTGGGCGAATGGGTTAGCTGCACCGGAGTCTTTGTAGTTTTTCTTATGTGTAACATGAACACTCGAAAGTTTTCTTTGGAAAATCTTCCACGATAAGTTCTCTTCCTTTAGACAAAAATTTTTTGTGTGCATTGCCTTAGACAATTAACATTGAGTATTATACATTGCCTTAGTAAATTAATCTTACCTTAGTCACATTGCCAATTAACCTCAGACAATTAATTTTCTCTTAATTAATTAGTCGATTTGCCAATTAACCTTGCATTAATTACACTGTGCGTTAGTTAATTGCAGTTACGCATTGCCTTAATTAATTAACCTAACCACTTTAGTGTGCTATCATTAGAGTGAGCGCAAGATATTTAATTTTACTTTCAAATTAATCAATCTACTGTTCATTAACAAAGCGCCTACCAGTGGCCGAGTGGATAAGACTGGTGAATACAGATATTTCCATCTAGATTCAAATACCGATAATAGGTATGACTGCTTAGATGTTTTCATGGTTATCCCATGCGCAGTGTGGATACAAACGAATTTCACTTAAAATATTCTCCATAAAGGTATTCCTTTTCTTATATACATAGCCCTCATGCACTTTGTTTTAACCAGGTGAACAGTTTTTCTAACTAAAAATAATTTAAATCATTATTTTACCTTTTTTTTTAATTTTTTATCAAATTGAAATAATTTAGCTTAAGCTTACCACATACAGAACTGATAAACTTTTATGAACATTTTCAGCTTCATTGTAATTAATAAAAGGCGTTCTAGCGCTCTGTGTTACGTAAATTCTTCAGAACCATTACATAATGGTTTACATTTACAAACGTTTTAATGCTTTTAATGATATACTTTTTTTTTGTTTTGTGATGTAGACTGTAATCTAAAATTTTGAGGTTACTGTCTCTTTTTCTGCTTCTTTTTTTTTTTTTTTTTTTTTTTTTTTTTTTTTTTTTTTCTTTTTGTAATTAGTTTCGAGTCACAAAATTAAAACTTGATGATGCTTGAAATGAAAGTTAAAATTTATTGAAATGCCATGCTTAAATGAATTCCTGCGCTAAGAATTCATTTAAATGGTTCGAAGGATTTTTATTTGAAATGGAGCTGAAATTAACTTGACAAAAAAGGTAGTTTAATTGTCAAGCTTAAGTTAACTATCCTTGAGAATAAAACTAATATTAATTAAAGTAATTTAAATTCAGTGATTTTAAAAAAATCGCGAAGAGGAGTTTTTTAATTTGGTTAACAGTTTTAATTTTAACTTATTTGTTCTTAGCATCATCAAATAGATTACGTTCAAGAAATGCTTACATTTTAATTCAAACCGCCTACGTTATAAAAATATCAAACAGCTTACTCTCTGATTCAGACAGCTTACAATCTAAAACTATAAAAACTATAAAATAACTTGCTTTCTAAAAATATTAAACAGCTTACATAATAATAATATAAAGTAGCTTATGTTTTAAAAACATAATACAGCTTACTTTTTAAAATATAAAAGCTTAGATTCTAATTCAGCCGGCTTACGTTCTAAAAAAGTCCAACTTTCCAGTGGCCGAGTGGTAAAGTCGATGAACACGGGTAGTTCGGTCCGAGGTTCGAATCCCGCTGCCGGGCTGGCTGCATGGGCGTTTCCATGGCTTTCTTCGTGTGTAATATGTGTACAAGCCATTTTCATTTAGAAAGTCCTCCACGAAGGCATCCCTTCCATTAGGCAGATAGTCCTATTATGCTTTGCCGTAATCTCAATCAACTAAACCTGCCAACTTACTTTTTGTAATCAAACGATTTATGCTCTACAAACATAAAATAGTTTATTTTCTTATTTAAACATCTTATGTTCTAAAAGCATAAAACAGCTCATAAGGTCCTTCGTAACCGCATGCTTTCGTGGTGTAACTAAAAACACGCGCGATGGGTATTCGGGAGGACCGGACGCATCTATCAGTTCCGAAATGCTCCAAATTAAAAATCCCAAAAAAGGATTAACTGCTTTTGACTTTCCCACGACGAGGAAAATGACGTAAAAACAACAATGAATACTGTAGCGAAAACTATACGCATTTATGGAATATTGATGCTGCGTAGTATATTTCATTATGTTTTTGGTGTATCTTTTGCTCTGTATACGTTTGCTTTAATGTACTAAAAAAACTGGTAAAATCGCAATCTGAACTATATGAGTCAATGCCTCACTGCGAAGATACATAATTTTTGTTGACTCAGATGTAATTAAGCTTCTAATTCAGTGCAGACATGTTCGTGAGTCAGTCCGCACGTAAGTAATGCGTATCACGAAAACGGTCAAAATCCATTAAATCATCGATTCCAGTTTGTGTTTGGGCATCATTTTGTCTTCAATTGCCGTTGCTAATGGTGCAGTACAACTCCAATTATCCGAGCTCCGACTTTCCGAATCGCTGATTATCCGAATCGCTTTCAGAATCTCAGAATTTTTCAGAATCAACTGAAGAAGAGAAGGAAAAGGAGAAAAAGGAAAATGAAGCTCAAGAAAAGCAAAGGAAAGAGACAGGAGAAGATGAGGATGGCGTGTCAATTGAAGAATTAAGAAATTTTCCTTTTAAAATTTCTGGATGTTCAAAACTTAGTACTGAGGATACATCAGAATGGATGGTGTGTGATTCGTCGTACCCTGGGTTTCAAATTCTAAATGATGAACTTATTGAAACTGCGAGAGAAGATGACCTTAATGTTGAGGTTGAAGCAGCCACGAACCATCAGCTAGTGAAGAATTTGCCGGTCTTGGAACTGCGTTGAAGTGGATGGAGCGTCAGCCCGAATGTGACCACATGCAACTTCTCATTAACAAGCGGGTGCGCGACTTGGTTGCCCGGAAACGTATGGAGACTGTCAAACTACTTTGAGCGAGATGCTCAACAAGCAATGACTTTGTAAGCACTTGTAAGTATACTGTACAGTATGCTATATAACATGTACGTAAAAGTGTTGCTTTTTCATTTTAATTAATTAAAACCTCTTTTTCTGTAAAAATAGTTTTTTTTCCTCCCATTTTCAACATACAGTATATAAAGTAGTTAATTAAAGTGTACATAGACCTTTTCTGCAGAAAAAATCCAATTATCCGAATTTTTGATTATCCGAATGGTGTCCGGTCCCAATGGATTCGGATAATTGTAGTCCTGCTGTATTATAAATAGCTTATCACTAAGAAATAAAAGTCCGGTATTAATACATTTCTAGATACAGCAGCATTTTTTAAAGTGTTGACACTTTAATGCGCATGCGTTTTAAAAAACATTTATATGAGCCTGTAGGAGATAATTTAAATTTTTTTTAAATTAGGAGGTTTATATATAAGTGCATGAATCAGCAATAGAATAGTAAAACACGTTTCTATTTCAGTTTACTGTCGTATTTTTTTACTTTATATTCTGAGATCACCTAGCGAAGAAATCAATTCAAATCATGATATTTAAGAAATACATATTTTTCAATCGTAGAAAAAAATCATAAATCCACCTCCTAAAAAAGAAAACATGCGCAGACTAGATAAAATGGAAGTTTTGAAATCAGACGTTAAAATTTAAAACGCAAATGCGCAGAAAAATAAATACAAAGTTTGAAAAATATATGCCTGAGAAAGAAAAATTTAAATATAAAAAGAGAAAAATTCTTAAAACTAAATGAACTGAACATTTTAAATGGAATAGAAAGATAGAAATATCCGTAATTAGAGTTTGAGAAAGAACCAAGAGAGAGCACTCAGAAATGAGAACGAAACTGAAAATGTACAAAAAAAAAAAAAATAAAATAAATGAATTAAATAAATAAATAAAATCGGAGATATAACGAATTTATTATAAAGGAGACAAGAAATGATCAAAAACAGAAGAACGGTTAAAGTTTTTGCATACAAAAAGTTGAAAAATTAGTACTCTGAGCAAATGAGTTTCCAGAACTCCAAAAATTTAACATTTATGTCCGAAATTGATGTCATGATGAGGTATTCTGGCATTATTCCAATCAGAAATATAATCCTTTTTATCAATGAGGGACTGCGTAGACTTTTGAAGTCGTTATTATTTAAATAAAAAAAATGTTCAAAAACTCCTGATCAAAAATCGTCATTATTTTGCCATTTCCCCATCGGAGTACTTACTTTTATCATTTGATGTTTCAGCTTCATTAGAGGAGATTATTTTTCAGAAGAAAAAAGAGCTCGTTTCTTCGTCATTAGTTTTTATTGTTCAGCTTCCATTTCTGCTGTACTCTTTTGTTTAATGCAGTTTGGATTATTTTATCTTAGCTTAATCTCGATGCATTCTTTTTAATTGGATCTTTATGTGCGCTTAAAATGATCCTTAAGCCTTATTTCAATGTCATCAATTTGTTCCAATTTGAAGGGATTAGAATTCCAGTTTGTATAGTTTATTTTAGAATTTTAGAATTAATTATGAACTAAACTGGTTAAATTATGATCAGGTTGCGGATTTAACCAGAGCACCGTTGACGGCAAGGCATTTTTCAGAATTATGGACTCAAGAGTCAATTTTTTCGCCATACAGAAGATGCCCGATTAATATGCTCGCCGTTCATGTTATCATTCGACCAATGATTTCGAATTACTAAAGTCCTATCAGATTGTATAAGAAAGTATAGAAAATACATCACGTGCTGCTCAAATATTCAGTTGTTATGATCATGATGTTATAGAAATGATTTTTTAATTCAACAGATAAATTCCAAATAGACTATAAAAATTGCAAAATGAAAGAAAAACGCAATTAAATGAGGTATTAAGTCACAAAACAACTTCGATGTTTCAATAGTTTAGTCAAAGATTTTAAATTTGACAAAAGAGCAACCTTAGTTTGGCTTGGAACTTGAACAGTTCTATTGATTTCAAGAAAGATCAGACACAAGCCTCTCTTCTCATAAACAACAAAAATTATGCAGGATCTATTTTTCTTGAAAGCATGTACTCCAAACTAAGGTTAATTTCTGGCCTAAATTTACAACGTAGATTGTTATATTCTCTTCCAATTTTATTAGGTCAGCCGTGTACAAATAAACCGTTTTTCCAAGCTTCAGAAAAACCTGGTGAATCGACCAGTTTAACGAAGTTGAAAATCTAGATAACGTTCCTTTATCAGCCAGAAACTTTCTTTACTGTGTTTTGAGCTTTATATTTTGATGGATGATAAAATTTTTTTAAGATATACATGAATTTACATATTGGAGCGTTTTGAAATTTGGCATCTTTTTTTTTTTTTTTTTTTTTTTTTTTTTTTTTTTTTTTGAACGATAACAGCGCCTAATATGGTTTACAAACATTGTTATTTGAAAGTATAAATGATGACTTTTTCCCTCATTAGTCTATAATGAAAAAAAGGAAAAGGAAAATACTTTGCTAGAAATTAAGAAGTTCGCCAAATAAATTTTTCTTGGCGAAAACTGAAAAAAAATACGTGAATTTAAATTTTTTAATTTCTCCGTAAATTTTACAAAATTTAATATTTAGGCATAATTTCAGTCGTAGAAACGAAATATGGCAAAAAATAACATATCATTTCAGAAAAAGCCGATTTTGTGTCGAAATACCTATGTTAGAATGACGCTGTATATATATCTGATATATAGCCCAAGTCGCGGTTTCGAGAAATGAAAAACGCAGTTTGAATTTCGTCAATTGGCCAAGTAGAACGGGAGATGAACTGTTCCCCCTCCCCCCCTTTTTTTCGGGGGGGGCGCAGCATACCTTACTGGTACTTGGTCCATGATTATTTATTCCATTGCTTTTATTTTTTTCCTTTATCTATCTTAAAGTTTATATACATATATATAAACTTTATATATATAGTTCATATCATGTGTGTTTGAAATATGTTTAATTTTTACAAGAGTCCTTTTAAATTATTTGTACGTTAACATTTATTAATTTTTCTCACCCCTTTTTGATTTTGAAACATTTTTACTAAAGAACTATAGAGTCAAATGTATTTTTTAGCATAAGCTTTTAAACTTTCCTCTTCTAAAATTTTAATAAATTTTTTAAGCTCAATGCACAAAATTTTTGACCGCTAAGGTCTCTCTAATTCATGTTATCTTGCTACTGTAATATCTTTTTATTTTGTCAAAGAATTTAACTTCCAAAAAAATCTACAACCACAAGAGTTAAATTACTACAAACACACCTACAGATTTATTGATGACCTTATTACAATTAATAATTTTGGTAAAATTGAAAACTCCGACATTTATCCGAATTGTCTTAAACTTAATAAAACTAATAATTCACAAAATAGCATAGACTTTCTAGATCTTCAAATCATTAACTACAAAAAATTTTACTTTTTGACAAAACAAGAAACTTCAATTTCAATACTAACAAATTAATAAATTGGAACTCCAACATATCCAAAAAAAGTAATTAACAATACTATAATTAATCAAATACAACGAATTAAAACTATATGCACAGATACAATAGATTTACAACGCGAAATTTTGATCCTTATCAAAATTCTCAAAAATAATCTTAATTCCCTTTCAATTTATCAACCATTGCCTTAAAAGAGCAGGCGTTAAATACTCACTCTAAATCATTTAACTGATAGGGATATGATAATTTATTCCTAAACCTGAGAAGGCGGTATAAGTTGGATGACTGTCAGTTGAAAGATTTGTATATAGTGTAATTACTCAATTGTATATATTGTAAAAAGCTAATTGTCTTCAGACATATACTGTTACTATACTGTAACTAAAAAAATGGGCCTATTTCCTGCCTTTAGACTGTCTACTAGCTCTTGGA